GCTCCTTGACCTACCACAAAGCATTGGCTATCTGAGAAATCTTACCTGTTTGGGTCTCAAGTATGTTTTATCCTGAAAACTATGTAATGGACCTTTTATGTTAGAACCTTAGTACTAGTGTTGATCTTTTTGGATTGGTGTTGATATCAACAAATGTGATATAGGCTTCAAAATTTTTATAAGGCTACAATAAAGTCATTGATGAAATATTTTATTGCAGGTATAATCGTTGACAGCTGTTCCACGATCACTTAGCAAGTGCATACACCTTGACGAATTCAATGTTGAAGGCAACCAGATCTCACAACTTCCTGAGGGCCTCCTGAGCTCCCTCTCCAACCTTTCTTCCCTTACTCTCTCACGCAATGCCTTCAACTCTTACCCTGTAGGAGGCCCTTCCCAGTTCACCAATGTGCACTCCATTAATCTGGAGCACAATCAGGTGGACAGGATCCCATATGGCATTTTCTCTCGAGCCAGGCACCTCACCAAGCTCAATATGAACTACAATGGGCTCACATCACTCCCACTTGGTATGTGTCATCTGTGTGATAGGGCCAGTAGTTTACTCTTAAGGTGTGGTTAACAGGCTTTGTGTACACACAGGCTTGCTGTGCACGTGGCCATCTGGACGAAACATGTCAGTTTGGTGAGAAATCTGAGGGCTGAGGGGAGCTATTGATAATTCAACCTAGAGTTCTTTTTCTTTAGGTATCTTGAAGCTTTCTAGGGTGCAATTTAAAAAATTGTTTGTAATTTGCTTATAGAAATTATCAGTGTCTTAACATATCTTTGAAGTCAACAAAAGTTATATTAGAGATTTATATAAACATTTAGAGGTGATTATCTTTTTCTTTTTTTCATTATTACCAAAAAAAATAAAGAAATGGCTGAGGATCTAAACGCGCATCAACGACCCGTCAGATGGGTGTTGATTTTAACCCGTTGCCAACTAGTGGTATTACGTACATGCCACGCTTTGTGGACCAAAACACAGATGGCATCGTATCGTGCCCATTCCCACGCCACTGACTTGTCAGACGGAGTTAGTTTTCTCCGATAGTACGGCTTCATTTATATGGTAAAGATTTTAGGCAATGGTACCTATAATGAAGGTAAACCTTCAAATTATAATATCTTTATAGATTATAGCAAAATAAAAGCTTTTAGGGGCTAAATGTAGCTTGCAAACTACCAATTGAGCGTGCGCAAACGGGAAACTGCCGATGTGTGCCAACAATCCTGTTCTTACGTCCACTTGTCAAACATTTTTACCCGTCGGCACTTGGTTAATCAGTAAATTTAAAATCTTTAAAAAAATTATATGCTATGAACCTGAAACTACAGCAAAAATAGGGAATAAGTTCTTATACTCCATGTTGCTCAAAAGAGAAGTACTATGCTTGATTTTACTCAAGTGAGAGGCATGTGTGGTCTGGTATGGTGGTGCATTTCGCTGTTGAAACATTATACCTGGTTGGGCACTCAGACACTAGTCATGTCCTAGCCAAAGACAAGTCCAGTTAAATTGTGCCTTAAGAAATGAGCCATTGGAAGAAAGTGTTTAACTTGCTTGATTAATGATGTATTATGGCAGAAGCGGGTTGTCCAGAGACATCACCTATATCTGCATTCACACTATTCCTTGGTAGAGGGGCCCTGAATACAGGGTGGTTTTGCCTTGCCCTCATGGGGTTTTGATATACAGTTTAACATGTTTTCTTGGATTTATGTTGCATGAAAGTATAAATAGTCATCTTAGTATTCTTTTTCTAATTTTACCATGTATGGAACTCCATTGGCACAAAGTTTGAGAATGGATCCTCCTTCTGAAGTTGTTTTATTCCCAAATATTAAGGCCAATGAGGATTTTTGGAACACAAATAACTTACAAGAGCAAGATACTCTAAAGGATGTAAATAGCTGATATTAGTAGACATCTACATTAGGAATATCCACAGTGTTATAGACATTTCACTCTCTCCTGTCAAACCAGTGTCTAATCCACAATGGTTCTGATTGCTTCCTCTTCCTCTTTGCCCTTTTGAGGGAAAGGAAAAAGTATGATGTATATACAGCCAGTGCTGCTTCCTTTGAGAATGCCAGGGCTGCAGTGTTTATATCAAGGGTCAGGAGGCAGGATGATGGTCCTTTCAGCAGGGTAAAGTGAAAAGCCTTTTGGTATCACGGGACTAGAATGTAGGATGGTGTACTGGCTTGGCAGGAGACCAGCTAGTATAAAGCTATAGTGTGACTGTGGCTTTATACTGAAATGGATATTTTACCTTATTTTATGCAGTGAATTTCTTTAGAATTTTTGTATGTGATGAAACATTTGAGAATTTTGATATTTCAATTTCAGTAAAAAGGAATAAAGTGTTTCTGTATTCTTTTCAGATATTGGGTCTTGGCAGAATATGGTGGAACTTAATTTGGGTACGAATCATTTGACAAAAGTTCCAGATGATATATCTTGTCTACAGAGCTTAGAAGTTCTTATTTTGTCAAACAATAATCTCAGGGTAAGTCTGAAATATTTTCCTTAGTATCACACATGAAGATAATTGAGTTTGAAAATAGAATAGTAGACCTTTAACCCATTAACGCCGGTATATTTTGAAGCCGAAAATAAAAGATTCCGGGCAGCTACAAAATTGGCGCGCGGTGCTGGCACGGACTCTGCCTGCTCGCTGGCTGTGGCCCGCTGCTGCATCGGAGCACGAGCCCGAAACAGCGTCACACTGGCGGGACGCCTGGCAATATTTATTTTTTCAGGTGTCTCATGTGGGACACCGTCGTTAGTGGGTTAAAAGTGGATTAGTTGGCAGCATTTGCTTTGTAACTAATTACAACGCAATTTGGTATAGTCATGCTTTTCAGCAATGAAAACACTGAAAAAAGTTATTTATTTTTCAGTGTTTTAACACCACTGATAGTCAGGATGAGACCTTGGGTCAGTGGGTGTCCCAGTTATAAGCAAATTGAAATTTCCAGGAACACTCAAAACAGGTGTATGGGAGTCTGTGGTATCATTTATAAATATATTTAAACCTTAAGGAGTACCCTGATGTATGTGACCTCTACACAATCAAAATCTTAATGGAAAGTTGAAGCATTACAAAGGCTTGTGGTCCAGGGTTGAAAGGCTTTTTTTTTTCCCAGTTTTATATGATCATGCTTGTAGTGCTTAGGTTTGGTTTGTGCAGCTGATAGACTTCTAAAAGGATGAGAAATGATGGGCCACGAATGGGAGTAATTAATTTTAGAGACATTTAAATTAGGATCAGAAATTCTTCCTGTAGCCCATTCTTTACCAACAGTTTAAAAGAAACCTGTAGATAAAATTCAATTTTTATGATTATTATTAACCCCTATGATCTGGCTGACATGACTATTATGACTGGGGTAACAGGACCTTGCTGTCATGAGAATTTCAGCAGAAGCCTGCAACAATGAGAATGATGCCATGAGTGCACAAAGCTGGTAGAGGGTGATAAGATACATTGGGTGTTTAGGAAGGGACTTATTTCCATTGATAAATTAGAGGAATGTATTATCCCTGAGCCATAATTGGAAGAGCACCAAATCCAGGAAAGATTTTGTTTCCTTGCCAGGATCCTATTCCTGCTTGCCATGACCAGCATCGCAGGCTGTATTACAGAAAATTGAATATTAAGAAAAAATGAGGAAAGGAAAAGGATAATGAAATGTTACATATTGTTAGTATTATTGTACTGTATTCTGGACTACCTCGAGATAATATTGGGATCTGTGCAAGGAAAATAGTTGAATACCATTTGGATAACGGAAATCAAATGGCAAATATAGACATTGGAAAATATCAAAAAAGCCAAAAATGCTTGTGCAGAAAAAGGAAAATATTATTTCAAGGAGAAAGCTTGGAATAGTGTCACCGCACACGAGTGATTGTGTGTGCGAGTGGCCTACAAAACATATGTCTGTCAGACTGGCTGTACAAGCCTAATGCCAGTATTTTGGGTCACTTGCAGATAGTGAAACATCTGGAAGTGAAGCATCCAAGGGGTCAGTGTTTATTTAATAATAATGGTAATTTTAATAGCATCAATAAAAATAATGATAACAGTCGTAAAGTTGGTAAATAGAACGGGATAGAGGCGATATCAGGTAGTCTCAGAAAAGATACTCTCTTTTGTGAGCAAGCATTTATTAAATTACCTACATGTGAACAAAATTGATATAATGAAACCACAGTGGATCATGCATATACCAAATGCCAGTGGTCATAGTGTGTGGGTGGGTGAGTGTGTGGGTGCATACTTGTTTAGGTGTTTGGGTGTGTGGTGTGTTGAGTACAGTGTGTGCTACTTTACACCCATGAAAGACAATTGTGCATGGCAAATGGCTGCTGCAATATAGCATTCTGAGGAAGTGTAAGTGAATACGATTGGGAAGCAAAAAAGTAAAACAAAAGTTTTTCCCTTTACAGAAAATTCCTTCAAGTATAGGCAACTTACGCAAGCTTCGGGTGTTGGATCTAGAGGAGAATCGTCTAGAAGGGTTGCCACCTGAGATAGGGTTCCTTAAAGATCTACAAAGGCTTATAGTCCAATCCAATCAGCTTTCTGCTCTGCCACGTGCTCTGGGGTTAGTGATCTGCTCATGTCTTATCTGTTTAGCTGGATGACCATTTATTTACATGTGTACATGATTGTTTGTTATACATTAGAGTTTCTAGATTTGAATATTTACAAGACAGTGTGTTCTCTTGATTCCAGATCAGATTTTTGTAGTGCTTAAAACTTGAGAGTAACATGGATACTATTTCATTTTGCAGGCATTTAGTCAATCTAACTCACCTGAGCGTTGGTGAAAATAACCTGAGTTACCTGCCAGAAGAAATAGGGACTTTGGAGTCTCTTGAGACTTTATACATCAATGACAATCCTCAGCTACACAACCTACCCTTTGAGTTGGCACTCTGCACAAATTTGCAGATAATGTCTATTGAAAACTGTCCTTTGAGTCAGATACCTCCTGAGATTGTGGCTGGTGGCCCATCTTTTGTTATCCAAGTAAGTTGTGCATTTATCAGTTGTTATTCTTGTATTCTGTTTTTTTCTTTTATGAAGTATATGATTTTGTAATGTGCATAAGTTTCAGTTCATAATATTTCTACAGCATTAATGAATTTCTCTTTTTTTATAGTTTTTGAAAATGCAGGGTCCATACCGCACAATGTGAGGGTGATGTCCCTCGTTACCAGGAGTCACGTCGGGAGGTCCGAGTAGACATGCATCAAGAGGAGCAGTCTCGGTGGCTGTTGCTCCCCGGCCGTGCTCTGCCTCTCCTGCACCTCTTACACTGTTCCTGCTGCTCCTACACCCATAATTGTATTTGCTGCTTGTGGTTCAGGCTGGCACAACAGCTGTGGTTCATGTCCGTACTGCTTGTGGTTCAGGCTCATGTGACAGCCTGTCATCAGTGTTGTCACCAGTGGCAACTGAAAGGAATCTTGCTTGTGGACGTGAAACCCAGCAGCCATCTGTGGCATTTGGGTGACAGCAGAGAGAAGCTTGGATGTGTCAGGGACGCAGGCTGCCCATGTGAAATGTGATATTGTGCTTTTCTTGTTAGGTATAAGTGTGTCACAAAGCCAGGCTAGAGGAGGACGAGGTGGTAACTGAAACCTGGCCTGGCTTTGGTCATGTCTGGTGTGAGAAGCATGGTATGGGACAGTGGTAATGGAAGGGGAGGTGGCCCCCATCCACTCTTCCAGTCCTTGTACTGGTCACAGGAGGTTTGATCAAGTAGGAAAAGACCTCTTTGCTGGTATGCCAAAGGTGGAGCACTTGCTTTACTTCATACCAAAACTGAACAAGAGTAACCAAGTCATATTGATGGTAGCAATGCAAGGAGGAGGGCCCCCTTCCCCATTCAACAATCACCATGTTGGAATTAGAAAATAAAAAAAATAAAATAAATTAAAAAGAGAGAAAGTATGAGTGAGTGTTGCAAGAGTGAGTGTGCCGAATGCACGCATGAGAGGAACAACAGCGCTGGTGCTCTGTCAGATGTTGATTATGCATGTATGGCTGTGCAGGTGTGTGCACAGAGCTGTTCATATTAGGTAGCACTGGTGGCATGGCACTGGTCTCCCCCTACACAATGGCGTTCACTATCCATTAAGTGGCAGCCATGTGTGACTTCTCCCCCGCTCCACATTGGCTGCTGTATGGTTACTGGATGACGTTGAAGCAGTGCCAGCCACTAGCCCCGCCTCTACTCTGTGCTGCTTATGTGTGAATGTCCTGGTGTGTATATACTGTATATGTAACATAAGCCTGCTACTATTAGGTTGCTTCAAACCGTCGCTGTTTTATCCTCTCATAAAGTTGCTGTCTCCCAGACCAGTGCTTCAGTGTGTGTGTTTGTATGTACAATGTAGTGAGTGTTAATTGTCACAGAAATTACACAAAAAGTTTTGTGTGGATGTGAATATCAGTATTTTCTAGAAAGGCCTGATTTGCTTTGCTATGTAAATATTTGCTTTAACTAACTCAGTCCAGGAATAACTATATGAAATTGATGAAATTAAATCATACTTTGCTTCCTGTGCCAAGCTAAGGCTTTTGTTTTTTGTGTCTATTTATATGATTTTTTAAAAATGTTTAGTTACTTTTCAAACTATGAAACTGACGAGACTAGTTTGGTGGCGACATCGGACCAGTGTGTCTTGTATTAAGAATTAAGTCTTTATTTAATACATTCACAGGAAATCATGAATGTATTGGATAGAGTATTAAGCCAAGAGAGTCTCATCTAAGCAGGAACGAGTGCCAGCAGTTCGATGGCCTCAAAGATACTAGGTGTTGGCAGGTCATCCCCCTTCTGTCCCCTCATTCCTGTCAGTAGTAACTTACACTTGGCAAGGAAGATCAGAGAAAACCTATTCTTTTATCATTGTTAACCTCATCACCCCCTCCCCTTGAGGCTCATTGGTGCTCTACAAGTAGAGCCTCCTCCCTGGTCATAGCGAGGTGGATAATATACTCACAGAGAGGAGTGAAGCATCATGCTTCAGTGTGTCAATGATAGATAATTTCAAATGAATTACACTTCGTCCTAAGTGTCTTTGTCATCATGTGAGTTATAAACCTTATTTTTTTGAGCAGCAAAGACCAATAATATACAAGTGCAGGGTGACCTTGGCATTAGGCCAGAAAAGAAATGAATGCACAATAAGAAATCTTGGAAATGGAGACCATCTTTAAAGAGATGGCCAACTGACATAACCTTGCACATTTATTTTTAGGTTGAACTGGAAGTGTTTTACACTAGCGTTCAAGCTGCTGCTCTGTGGAGATTGACATTTCATCAACAAGAACTGCAAGGCAGTTAGGTTTTAGTGTACCTTTCAATGACTGCTGCTGCTGCTAACTCCTTGGAGCAGCTGTGAATAATAACCTAGTCAGTGTCCCGTGGGGTGTTGTGCCTGTAGGCTGGTATGTCACTGGTCTAAGTCACCTCCCACACCATCCATTGCTTTGTAGCATCCACCCCACAGACATAACCAATGCTTATTACTCAAATGGACATGCTGTGTATCAGTCGCCTCTCAAAAATGTTACTCAATAAACCTGTAGGTGACACCATGTATCATTACCACCCAACTTTTGCCGTGTTTGAAGGATACAAAAATTATGATTGCAAATTATGTATATATTTACAAAGTGTAATACAAGAACTACAAACCTCTCTTTTTTTTTTTTCTTTAATTCAAAAACTTTTCAAAATCAACTTTATCTAATCTCTTCATTGGGATTTCAACACTCCTTAGAACTTTGGTTACCACACCTGTTGCAACAGTTGCATTATTTTCTCTGATGGTGAAAGACTGTCCACCTGTCATTACATTCTCTCCTGTAATGTCACCTCTACTTTTGTATGGTCACCTGAAAGATGAAAGAGCAAACTTTTAAAAATAGATGAAGCTATAGACATTTTGTTTCTAAAATTATCTATATACATTCATGTTAGTCTCTCAAAAAATTTATCACAGAAGTAAAACAATTTCTGTGAGAACTAGGCACATTAATCTTTTTTCCACTTCTGCATGCGAGACACAGACACACAGACGCACGCAAATGGGTGAAGGTACGGAGCAAGGGCGATTAGAGGAGTAGGAGAGGATGAATGTTGGCAGTAACTTTAAATGTAGAGGGCTTGGGAGCAGAGAGATTGGGGGATGAAGGAGGTGTAGACATATCCTGGATCCTGGTTTAACAGTTTTGAATGTTTAAAAATGTCCTTGAGAGTTTCTGAAGGAGTTGGTTGGGGAGGTCTCAGAAATGAATGTTTATGAGGGGGAGAAGAGGGGATGACAGATGTTTGAAGGATGGGGGAAGAGGCTAATGTAGAAGATAGGGTGGAATATTTTGTTTGTCTTATGCTATGAGCAAAGTAAGGAGGAGGAGGAGGGTAGGTACTGGTAAAGTAAAGATTAGAATGTCTGGATTTAGAATAGTCGTAGATGTCTGGATGTCTGGATTTAGCATGAGAAAAGAATTATTGGGAGGGGGAGGGGGAGTAGTAAGGGGTAGAACTGGAATGATTGAAAGATACTGGAGGGATGTAGAAACATAGGAGGAGGGGGGGGCAGGGCAATGGAAAGCCCTGTGCTAGACATCAAAGGTTATATAGCACTATGGTAAAGTCTTGTGTCAGAAAGGGTAAAGAAGAGTTAAAGATTACAATAAAATGTGTTATATGTCAAAGATTAGAGAGCATTATAGGATAGTATGGTAGTGAAAAGGGAAAAAAAGGGGAGTAAGTGAACTAGAGTAGAGATTAGTAGAAAGGGGAGGGTTAGGGAAGTTGGGTGAATGAGTAAATTATAGTGTATCTGTCCCTGGGGAAGGTAAAGGAAAAATAGAGTTGGCTGTTGGAAAAGTAGGAGAAGAATCCAGGGAGAGGGAAGGTGTTAGATGTCTAAGATTAGAGGGTGTTATAGGAAAGTATGGCAACGAAAAGGGAAAAGAGGGAAGTAAATGAAGTAGAGCAGGGATTTGTAAAATGGGAAAGGTTAAGGGTGTAGAGCAATTGAAGGAAATGCATTGTATCTGTGACTGGGAAAGGAATAGGGACATTGTTCAAGTAAAACAGAGGTGGTTGTTGGAGAAGTAGGAGAAGAATTTGGGGGATGAGAAAGGGGGACTGGGGTAGGTGGAAGTATCAGGAAGAATATCTGGAAGGGAGGGGTCTGGAGAAGGACATTGTTGTGATAGAGGGGATTCGTACTAGTATTCAAGCGGAAGCAGTAGAGAGAGGGGTATGTTGGGGGGTGTAGGAGGAAGGGGGTGTGGAGGGAACTTGAGGAGGAGGAGGATGGTTATCTGCAAATACTTTAAATGTAGAAGGAGTAAGAACAGGGATTGGGGGTGGGGGGTGTTCCTTGGGTCATCTTTAGGAAGTTTTGGATGTCTTCAAGGTTTCTGGAGGGGAGATGGGTGAAGAGGACTGAGGAGAAGTGTAGATAGATATCTGAGGAGCAGAAGAGGAAGGTGTAGGAGAGGTGGAGTGCGACAAATAAAGTGAGGAGCAGGGGGTAGGTATTGGGGAAGTGGTAGAGATTGGAGTATCTGGATTTAGAATGGAAAACAAATTTGATGGGGGGATAGGGTGAGTAGACGTAGGATGGTTTAGGGTATAGGGGAGACATACTGGGGGAGATGCAGAAATATCTTGTGAAGATGGTGGGGAAGCAAAGTGAAGGACTGTTTTGGAATAAGTTGAGAGGGAAAAACCTCATTGTCATGCTTCTTTTCTGACCTCATGTAGAGTGAGGCCTAGTTTGAATCTGAGGACTGCCACTTCACATTTGAGCTTGTAGGCAGGGCAGCTCCCATAACATACATTATGGGAATCTCAACAAATGGCACATGTACATGACTAAGCAGGGCAATTTGAATGGTTGGGCACATAGAGGTCAGCAAGTTGTGGAGTGACAGTGTTTGGCTGGGTGGTCAAAATGCCAACATTTCTCACATTGACAAGGAAGGGGTTAATATGGTCATAAATGGTAAACCAATGATATAAACTTCATGGGGGAGGTCAGGTCTATGGAAGCTAATCTTGGCAATACTGACATGGGACTTACACTGGCTCTAAGAGGAATAGTGTAACACTATTGCCACTGCATCATAATCAGCAAGGCAGGTAAGCAGGTCATTTTCACAATCTTAACCAGTCCTTGTTGTAGATAGGACAAGCATTTGGGGGAATAGAAACAGTTCCAGTACAAGTATTAAGTGAGGGGTGACGTTAGGCAGGAATGGGTTTGCCAGTAAGGTCAGTTTGAGTAGATTGTCACAAGCTTGAAATTCAAAGGTAACTGGTGTGTAAAACTGAGTGACCAGAAAAGGTGACTTTGCCTACTTGTTTTTGGAGGCACTGTTGAAAGAGAAGGGTATTCTCAGAATAGGGGACTGTGGGGGGATCACAAAGAATTGATCCAACTTGGCTGGGCCAAAGACAGTACTCAAAAGGTTTGCAGAGGGATAATAAGGATGAAGAGTAGTAATAAGGGAAGACAGGATTGATACTGAAGAGGGTTGCGCAGCAGGAGATGAAGAGGAGAATGTTGGGGATGAGGAAGAGGTACTTTCTAGGGGTTGAGTAATCACCTTGTTGGGTGTTTTGGAATGGTTAGAGTTGTTTGCTAGGGTTGCAGAGGGGGTATTAACGTCAGTGGACGAAGCCATGGTCAAAGGAGGGGCAGGGGTTGGAAAACTATCAAAATTAAATTCAAGATAGGCTATTTGATGAAGGGCCACCCTTAATGCCTCTATTAAAGTTAAAGAATCTTCATTACTGGCCATGGTGAGCCTAAATAAACGGGGGAAAAGAAACAGTCTACCCCTCAGGGTCCCCATTAGGGGTAAGGGCTAGGTAATTAACCAAGGGAATACTGTGCCCCTGGCTCCTGGAGGCCTTTCGTGACTGACACAAAGCCAGCCTTTCATCCTTTCTGTATGGCTCTCACACCTTAGAAATGGGATAGAAGAAGGGAATAAAGAAAATACGGAGGAGGAGAGAAAAGAAGAAAGGACCAAGCAAAATTAGTTAAGGCAAGGTAGGGGTAATCCTCTACATTGGGTCTCAGTCCCCGTCTGCTAAGCCCTCCCATGAAGACATGTTAGGTTTTGGGAGGGGGAAAATTGAAATATATGACAAATAACCAAATGTTCCATACTTTTTTTTCTTGCACTGAATTATTTACTACATAGAGAGATGTTATAGAGTCTGTGCAAGAAAAAGTAAATCAAAAGACAAATATGAACATTGGAAAATGGCAAAAAAGCTAAAAAAGTTTACACAAAATAACTTTACAAAGGGGACCGCTCTTATTTTTGGCACTGTGATGCAAACAGATCCAACAAGTTAAGTGTATTCCCACCTTACTTATAATCTCTTACTAAGGTATCTAAATCTTTTCCAAACAAGAAAATCCTGCCTCTTGGATATACTGACCTGTCTCAAGCCTATTTTTTTCTTTATACTGTCTCCCATCTTCATTTCCACTTGTCATTTACTATTATATAAAAGGTCTTGTTTCACTTTGTTCCACCAGTAAGTCTTCCTTCTCTACCTTTCTTACCCAAAGTCATTCCACAGATTTCAATAACTGTTTCAAAAATGTTTTTTTTTACTAATGTTCTCTTCAAATTGTATCCATTCATATTTCATCTTTGCTAACCCTATGCTGATGGTGCCAGAATTTTGTGTGTGGCACTCATTCTGATGACTACTGGCAACCGCTTAACCTTAATGTTGTGTATAGCCGGCCCTTTCATCTCACTAGCTAGAGCGAGTAATGACAGATACATGTGCCTATCATGATGGGTAGGGTTTCCATGACAGCTATAGGAATGCCTGTCAGTAAAGAGTTTAAGGCAGATATTCAAACTCTCGTCTTTAGCTTCTAGTTTCCATAGCTTAATGCTCCCCACTCCTACCCTATTTGTTTCTTGCATGGGGTGATTATCATAATAGCACAGACTGCTTTGTGCTGTTTCAAGCAAGCTTCTGGTATTACCATACCATCACTATTGCCTTTACTATCACTACAACCATCTTTCACTCTTACAACAAATTTGCTTTTCCATGTCTTTCTGAAAATAAGTACTTAACCTGGGATATCCTGGAGTTTCATTTTTATCTAACCCTAGGACCTGGAGTTTCATTTTTATCTAACCCTAGGACCTGGAGTTTCATTTTTATCTAACCCTAGGACAAGAGCTAACATGAATTATCCCCCTTACACCCAGATATATGTAGATCCAAGTTATGAAAGACATTTGGCAACTGGAGCAATTCCTTTTTTCCTTTATATATCTATTTATATTTCTTTTTTGTATAATCCTTAGCCTCCTTTCCCTCTACCTGTACTTCCCTCTCTTCCCCTTTCTTATTTTTCTAATCTTCAGCATCATCATCATTACTCTCACCACAATTATATC